GAAGTTTTGCCTGCATCTGTGGCAACCTGGAAAAACTACAACCCAATTTTGAAATGGTTGAACAGAAGCTCTCTGAAGCTCTAGGTCAGTGGTTCTCAACCTGTGGGTCCCCAGATGTTTTAGCCTTCAACTCTCAGAAATCCTAACAGCTGGTAAACTGGCTGGGATTTCTGGGAGTTGTAGGCCAAAACACCTGGGGACCCACAGGTTGAGAACCACTGCTCTAGGTGCTCTTACTGCCTATTACAGGGAAAACCAGCTGATTCCCAATTCATCTAAAACACAGATGTGTGCTTTTCACCTTAAGAACAGACAAGCATCCTGAGCTCTGAGGATTACCTGGGAAGAAATCCCACTGGAGCATTGCAGCACATCCAAATACTCAGGAATTACTCTGGATCGTGCTGACTTACAAGAAGGACTGCTTGAATATCAAGCAAAAAGTGGGTGCTAGAAATAATATCATATGAAAGCTGACTGGCACAACCTGGGGATCACAACCAGACACAGTGAAGACATCTGCCCTTGCGCTATGCTACTCTGCTGCTGAGTACGCATGCCCAGTGTGGAACACATCTCACCACACTAAAACAGTGAATGTGGCTCTTAATGAGACATGCCGCATTATCACAGGATGTCTACACCTTACATCAGTGGAGAAATTATACTGTTTAGTTGGTATTTCACCACCTGACATCTGTCGGGAAGTAGCAGCCTGTAATGAAAGGACCAAGGCAGTGACATCTCTGGCCCATCCCCTGTTCGGATATTAGCCAGCAAGCCAATGCCTTAAATAAAGAAATAACTTCCTAAGATCTACAGAGATACTCACAGGAACACCTCAGCAAGCAAGAGTCCAAAAGTGGCAGGCTAAAACCCAGATCCTCAGTCAGTGGCTGAGACCGCATGAGAAACTCCCTCCTGGGCACAAAGAAGACTGGGCAACTTGGAAGGCACTGAACAGACTGCGCTCTGGCACCACGAGATGCAGAGCCAACCTTCAAAAATGGGGCTACAAAGTGGAGTTCACATCATGCGAGTGTGGAGAAGAGCAAACCACTGACCACCTGCTGCAATGCAACCTGAGCCCTGCCACATGCACAATGGAGGACTTTCTTGCAGCAACACCAGAGGTACTCCAAGTGGTCAAAGGACATTTAGTATAATGCCAAGTTCATAATTTTGTTTGTGGTTTTTCTATACATTATAACTATATTCCATTATAGTATTATAATGTAATGCAATATAATATTAATAATAATATAACTATATATTTATATTACATGTAATATTACAATAATGGTATAGTGCAATATATTAATATATAATACTGATATTGTACTATACTAATATTATAATATATTGTATGTATATATATCTTGTAAGCCACTCTGAGTTCCCTTCAGGGTTAGAAGGGTGGCATATATACGCCGTAAATAAATAAATAAATAAATAAATAAATTTTCAATTTGCTTCTGACATGATAAATAAATAAACCCATAGTTTGTTGGCAAATGTGGACCCATTTGTGGTGGCAATGGGATTCATGTGTTACCTGCTGCTGGGATACAACTGCTCAATAACAGGACTGGAATAGCAGAACCATGGCAAGAGCCAGACCCAAATGTGAGGAAGGGCTACACACAGATGTCAGAGAAAGCCTGTTAAGATAAACATTATGGAGCAGGCCCCCATCTGCCCCATCCAAGGTGTGGGGTTCCTCAGAAACACTCACCTTATTGAGGGTTCTGACTGCGGCGTATCTCAGGACTGGCTTGGGCGAGCTACAGAAGAGCTGAAGCACTGAAACAAAGAGACACTCTATTTAGTGTGCTATAAAGGGGTGACCAAAGGCCTCTCTGGTTCAGCATTCACTTCACACAGTTGCCACTAAGCTGCTGGTTGCTTCTGGAGTGAGAGAATCAGCCAACTACGAAGACGTTGCCCAGGGGATGCCCAAATGTCTTGCAATCCTGCAGGGAAGCTTATTTCATGTCCCCTGTTTGGATATCAGCCAGCGCACCTACAACTTAAATCAGGAAACAGCTTCCTAAGATCTACAGAGATACTTGCAGGAACACCTCAGCAAGCAAGAGTCCATAAGTGACAGGCTCAAACTCAAAACCTCAATCAGTGGCTGACACCAAATGAGAGACTCTCTCCTGGGCACAAATAAAAACTGGGTGACTTGGAAGGCGCTGAACAGACTACGCTCTGGCACCACGAGATGCAGAGCCAACCTTAAGAAATGGGGCCACAAAGTGGAATCCACGACTTGCGAGTGTGGAAAAGAGCAAACTACAGACCACCTGCGGCAATGCGACCTGAGCCCTGCCACATGTACCATGGAGGACCTTCTTGCGGCAATACCGGAAGCACTCCAAGTGGCCAGCTACTGGTCAAAGGACATTTAATCAACTACCAAGCTTGCCAACTTTGTGTTTTGTTAAATGCAATACAACACGATAAGTAAAACCAAACTGCTGAACATGGGAAGCCCAAAGAGGGGACTTGAGAGCAATTTCACCCCCCAACAACTGATCCACCTACTGCCTCTGATATTGAAGGTGACATACACTCACCGACTCTTATCATCAGAAGGCATCACAAGGGCCATCTAGACTGCCCTCCTGCCATGCCAGAAGACACAGCCAAAACACTCCCATCCAGAATCTGTTTAAAGGCTTCCAATGAACGACAGTCTCTTCTCCCTGAAGAAATCTAGTCTACTATTCAACAGATAACTGAGCAAAAAAAGTTTATCTAGAATCATAAAATCCTAGAGTTGGAAGAGACCTCATGGGCCATCCAGTCCAACCCCATTCTACCAAGAAGCAGTAAAATTGCATTCAAAGCACCCCCAACAGATGGCCATCCAGCCTCTGTTTCAAAGCCTCCAAAGAAGGAGCCTCCACTGCACTCCGGGGCAGAGAGTTCCACTGCTGAACAGCTCTAACAGTCAGGAAGTTCTTCCTCATGTTCAGGTGGAATCTCCTTTCTTGTAGGTTTGAAGACATTGTTCCATTGCATCCTAGTCTCCAGGGAAGCAGAAAACAAGCGTGCTCCCTCCTCCCTATGACTCCCTCTCACATACTTATAATAATAATAATAATAATAATAATAATAATAATAATAATAATAATAATAATCCTTTATTTATACCCCGCTACCATCTCCCGAAGGACCCGGTGCGGCTTACAAGAGGCCGAGCCCAAATACATCAGTAAAACACAACAACAATACAATAATAAAAAACTCATAAACAAAGCAAAAAAACATTAACAATAACACCGTGATGCATTAAAACCTGTGGCAGGGCCAAATGTAATACTTAAAATCTTTAAAAGTGCTGGGCATGATCAGGTGAAATAGGATAGATATTTTAGGAATAGGTGGGGCTTGCAGGCAATACTAGATCTCTAGTAAAGTGCATTTGGGACATATAGCTTGGAGTTTCCTTATTCTGGGAAGGCACACTGGAACAGCCACGTTTTCAAGCTCCTTCTAAAGACTGCCAACGTTGGGGCATGCCTGATGTCCTTGGGGAGTGAGTTCCAGAGTCAAAGGGCCACCACCGAGAAGGCCCTGTCCCTCATCCCCACCAATCGCGCTTGCGATGCAGGTTATACATGGCTAGCCTTCTCTTCTTCAGGCTAAACATGCCCAGCTCTTTCAGCCGCTCCTCATAGGGCTTGTTCTCCAGACCCTTGATCATTTGAGTTGCCCTCCTCTGGACACAGTCCAGCTTGTCAACATCTCTCTTGAATTGAAGGTGCTCAGAATTGGACACAATATTCCAGGTGTGGTCTAACCAAGGCAGAATAGAGCATGGGGAGCATGACTTCCCTAGATCTGGACACTATGCTCCTATTAATGCAGGCCAAAATTCCATTGGCTTTTTTTGCCGCCACATCACATTGTTGGCTCATGTTTAACTTGTTGTCCACGAGGACTCCAAGATCTTTTTCACACATCCTGCTCTCGTGTAGACTCATATAATCAAGTTCAAAGTATAGAATCCAAGATCAGAACCTGGATTACATGGTAGTGTAGATGGGGCCTCAGTGACAACCTGCAACCCTGCTTCTTCCACCTGTCAGGAACGAAATCCAAGTGAAGGCCGGCGCTCACCTGAGACAGCTGGGGCCAGTTCCCTGGCTGTGCAGTTTGGGAGGTGGATGATGGCAGAGGCAGCTTCATAAATGACCATCTCATGCTTGTTCCGTAAGCAGCTTTCAATGAAATCAAAGAGTGGGTTGTCGTGCCTGCGAGGAAGAAAGTAACGTGAATGAGGTTTTCGCTTGTCAACGTGGAGGAACCCCTGCACTTGAAAATGGCATTTGAAATCCCAGGTTATTGCTCTGCATGCATGAAAAAACAGGCCTGGGCAAACTCTGGCCCTCCTCCTTGTGTTTTGGATGGTAGGCTGTTAGGAATTGGGGGAGGTGAAGTCCAAAACACCTGGAAGAGGGCCAAAGTTTTCCCAGGCCTGTGATAGACCCAATAGCCAAACACAAAGGGAGGAATTTCCTTTAAAAAAATACTTTTAAAATGGGGAGGTCTCAATTGGCCCAAGAATACATTTTCCCCGTCACGTCATACAACTATTAAACACAACATCTAAAACAGGCAGCACACATAATGACTTAATTGTTCCAATTGGTTCTCTTCCTATTGCATTCCTTGTTCAAGCATTTATTTATTTATTCATTTGCCATATTTATATCCTGTATTTCTCACCCTGGAGGGGACTCAAGTTGGCCTTCCAAAGGGCAGTAATTGGATGCCATACATACATGTATCAAATAAACAGTTACAATTAAAACCAAACAATTAAAATATGAATTATTAAAACAACAATTAAAATCATGCCATCCAAAACATAATCCATGACCATTCCATTGGTCAATCACACTGATTCGTGGTCACTTATTGCACTTCTCCAACTATCCTTTGTTACCATCTATTAAGAAAGCCATCAGATTGCCTCCATTGGTGCAATTTTGGCAGAAGATAATGCTAAAATGTATGCTCCAGGTATCAGCTGCAGGCTGCGTCAGGCCCAGAAATAGCAAGAAGTGTTTCAACCACAGTTACCAAAACTCTTCAAATAGTTGACGTCTCCCCGTGGCCTATACTGAACGTTTTGCTAGAAATGGTGTAACTGCAAGATTAAATGCCTAGGGCCAACAACCAGGAGTTATGGCTTCCTATAATAATAATAATAATAATAATAATAATAATAATAATAATAATAATAAAAACTTTATTTATACCCCGCTACCATCTCCCAAGGGACTTGGTGCGGTTTACATGAGGCTGAGCCCACAATACATCAGTAATAAAAACAATAACAACAGTAATACAAATTACACTGCTTAGCCGGTATTGCACCACCTGACATCCGCCGGGAAGTAGCAGCTAATAGTGAAAGGACCAAGGCAGAGACATCTCCAGCTTATCCCTTGTTTGGGTATCAGCCAGCACGTTAATGACTTAAATCTAGACATAGTTTTCTAAGATCTACAGAGACACTCGCTGGAACACCTCAGCAAGCGAGAGTCCAAAAGTGGCAGGCTCAAACCCAGAACCTCAATCAATGGCTGATACCAAATGAGAGACTCCCCCCTGGGCACAAAGAAAACTGAGCGACTTGGAAGGCGCTGAACAGACTGCGCTCTGGCACCACGAGATGCAGAGCCAATAATAAGAAATGGGGCTACAAAGTGGAATCCACGACATGCGAGTGCGGAGAAGAGCAAACCACTGACCACCTGCTGCAATGCAACCTGAGCCCTGCCACATGCACAATGGAGGACCTTCTTGCGGCAACACCAGAGGCACTCCAAGTGGCCAGATACTGGTCAACGGACATTTAATCAACTACCAAGCTTGCAAACTCTGTCTTTTGTATGTATGTACGTTTGTTTGTTTGTTCTGTAAAAAATATAACACAACTGTTCGGTTGCCTGACACGATAAATAAATAACAGTAATACAAACAATAAAATAAAACTCATCACAAAAAATAAGCAATAAACATTAACAGTAACACAACAACGTTTAAAAAACCTATAGCTGGGCCAAATGTAGTAATTAAAATGTAAAGATAATGCTGGGCATGAACAGGTGAAATATGACTAGGGTAGAGTTTTCGGAGAGGGATGGGGCGTGCAGACAATCCTACAGTCCCATACCTTGAAAATATCATCTTAAACAACGAACAACCTCTAGACGCATTCTTGTTTGTTGTCTGTCTACCTTCCTGATTGGTTTTAGGGCTTATCTGGCTTTGTATTTATTTATTTATTATTTATTTACTCTATTTTTATACCGCCCTTCTCAGCCCGAGGGCAACTCAGGGCGGTTTACAAGACGGCACAATTCGATGCCACAATAATATAAAAATAGCTAAAAGCATACAACATACATAAAATTCCATAAACAGTAAAATCAATAAAAGCATAAATCCTCTGCATCTCAATACCAAAATCGTTATCTGATCACAACTGTCCAGTCATTCCGAGGTCAAGAAGTTATCTGCTATACTGCATTTGAGAAAGCCTGCTCACAAAGCCAGGTTTTGACTTTTTTACGAAATATTAAGAGGGTGGGGGCCGATCTAATGTCCCTAGGGAGGGCGTTCCACAGCCGAGGGGCCACCATTGAGAAGGCCCCATCTCTCGTCCCCGCCAAACGAACCTATGAAGAAGGCGGGAGAGAGAGCAGGGCCTCCCCAGAAGATCTTAAATTCCTAGATGGTTCATAAAGAGAGATACGTTCGGACAGATAAGCAGGGCCAGAACCGTATAGGGCTTTATAGACTAAAGACAGCACTTTGAATTGTGTTCAGTAGCAGACTGGTAGCCAGTGGAGCTGGCGCAACAGAGGAGTTGTGTGCTCCCTGAGCGCCGCTCCTGTTAACAACCTGGCTGCCGCCCGTTGGATCATTTGAAGCTTCCAAACAGTCTTCAAAGGCAACCCCACAAAGAGAGCGTTGCAGCAGTCTATACGGGATGTAGCCAGAGTGTGGACTACCGTGGCCAAGTCAGACTTCCCAAGGTACGGGCGCAGCTGGCGCACAAGTTTTAATTATCTTACCTGAGAGACACGATAGGACTGATTATCTCCTAGGAATACAGTACTGTAATTCCATAACTTCTACCAAACCCCACTCACCCTTCTTCAGACTCCTTCAAGAGGCGGCTGGCAATCCGGATCAGCATGCAGTACGCAAACTGGGATTTTAGGCCCGATTTTGTGAATTTGTTCAACATCTTGGAAACTGCAAGGCGGTCATTCTTCCTCAGGTGGTAGAGCACCCCCAAAGCGTGGTACTAGCAAGGGAGAGATGGGAGAACCCAAATATATTTCCACTGGGTAACAATGGATCTTAAGTCTCAGAGATGGGAGCACAAGGGCTATCCAGTCCAACCCCTGCCGTGCAAATTAAATAAACAATGCATTTAACCACATCCCTTATTACGAGGGTAGCGAATTCACCCAGAGCCCATAAATACATACCTGCACCATGACATTGTCACTGGAAGCAGCTTCCTGGGCCTCATTGATCCACCTCTTGACCACGTCGTAATTGATCTTCATCATGTGCTGGAAAGAGCCAAGAATACTGGTTGCACCCCCAATAAATAGCATGTGATTTTGGGTTACCAGGCAATAACATCAATTTAATCAAAATGTAAACAGCAAGAAAGAATTGAAATAGTCTAAAGCAGGACTGGGCAAACTTGGGCCCTCCAGGTGTTCTGGACTTCAACACCCACCATTCCTAAAAGCCTCAAGCCCCTTCCCTAAAAGTCTAAAGGAAGGGGCCTGAGGCTGTTAGGAATTGTGGGAGTTGTAGTCCAAAACACATGCAGGGCCCAAGTTTGCCCCTGCCTGGTCTAAAGGCATTCATGTAGACAGAAAAAAAAAACAGGATAGAAATAAATATAACAACAATGAGGCAATTAAAATGAGTTATAGTAAGGTAAAGGTAGTCCCCTGACATTAAGTCCAGTCATGCCTGACTCAGGGGTGTGGTGCTCATCTCCATTTCTAAGCCGAAGAGCCAGCGTTGTCCGTAGACACCTCCAAGGTCATGTGGCCGGCATGACTGCATGGAGCGCCGTTACCTTCCCGCCGGAGCGGTACCTATTGATCTACTCACATTTGGATGTTTTCGAACTGCTAGGTTGGCAGAAGCTAGGGCTGACAGCGGAAGCTCACGCCGCTCCCCGGAATCGAACCTGCGACCTTTCGATCAACAAGCTCAGCAGCTCAGTGCTTTAACCCACTGCGCCACAATGAGTTACTACCATGTTAAACTGTAATACAGGCAGTTCCTAAGTTACAAATAAGGTTCTGTAGGCTTGTTCTTAAGCTGAATTTGTTTGTAAGCTGGAACAGGTACTTTTAAAAGTGTTAACTCCAACCAAAGGTGTATGCGCGCACACGTGTGTGTGTATGTGTGTGTGTGTGTATATATATATATACACACACATACATACCCACATTAGCTGGCCCCTGCCACGCACTGCTGTGGCAAAGTCTGTGTGTATGTGTTTTGTGTGTATATATGTGTTTTTGCGCATGCATTGAATTCTAACCAAAAACTACAAGGCAGGATATACATTTAATAAATAAGAAGTGGTTTGACCAGTGTCTCCAGGAGTAGAGAACTGCCCCTCCCCTTACCTGCCCAAATTGGCCATCCTGGTACTAATGCAACTATTATGACTCCCACCAAACGTATCCTAGTGGTATGGGATAAACTCAAGGATGAGTCCCAGAAGTCAACATGGCTGAAGTCTTGCTCAGTTCGTCACACTCTGCACCCGCTGAGTAGGATTTATTCCCCCCTTTCTTCGCTTACCAAAGATGAGACCAGCGCCGAACTGGACACACTGGGGACTTTGTCGACAATGGCTTGTTTCATGTACCTTTCAATGGCCTGCAGCATGGTGCCCTGGGACGCCAAAGGGAAAAACTAGGATGAGTTTCTGGGAGGCCAAAGGGAAAAACAAGGATGAGTTTCATATTTCTGACAGCTTGTCAGAAATATGAAAAATAAATATGTGCCCCAACTTGTCCTCCTCCTTTGCTTGTGTTTTGAAAAGCTTGGGAAGAATTTGGTGGCTCCTGAAATTTATTTATAACTTTTATATGCCACTCTTCTCACCCCGAAAGGGACTCAGAGCGGCTTATAAGTTATATGTAAATACAATATATATTATTAGAATAGCATAACATTAGTACCATACATTCCCATATTGTACTATACCACTATACCATAATATTACAGGCAATATGAAATATATATTATATTGCATTATTAGTATTATATTGTATTACATTAGAATATTATTATCAATTTTATGTGTGTACACAATATATTATATTATCATAGCGCAACATCAGTAATATATTAATACTATAATATATTATATTAATATTTAAACCTTAAAGTGCCAGTCTGAATAGCAGTAAAAGAATCCATAAACTGGTAGTATATAATAATAAGTGCAAGGTGAAGGCACCCTCCCCCTCCCAAAGTAGTCCAGGCCCACAGACCAGTCTTCCTAAATCATCATCAAAAATGGCCAAGAGCCTCACTGTCCATTTTAAAACTTACATCTGTGATCCTACAAAGTGCTCGAATGGCAGGCCCTCGGTACACATCTTCTTTCCCCGTCATATCTTTGGTCAGGCTGGAAAAGACGTCAATAATAATAATTATAATTCTCATGATTCGAGATGGGGAACAGCTTTGAATTAAGTAAATAAAGGTAAACACGTCTGTTCTAGATAACTGCAATGTTCTGTTCTAGATTACTGGAGGGCCTAAGTTGGCCCATACCTGGTATATATAGACACACGCTCGGCCTGTCATTGAACATTGAGAAAACCAAAGTCCTCTTCCAGCACTCCCCAGCCAATACCTCTCCAATGCCAGAAATACAGCTTAATGGTGTAACATTAAAAAATGTTGTCCATTTCCGCTACCTTGGCAGCCACCTCTTCACCAAAGTCAACATTGACACCAAAATACAACACTGCCTGAGCTCTGCGAGTGCAGCATTTTTCTGAATGAAACAGAGAGTGTTTGAGGACCGGGACATCCGTAGGGATACCAAGGTGCTTGTTTATAAAGCTATTGTCCTCCCAACCCTGCTATATGCCTGTGAGACGTGGACTGTCTACAGATGTCACATGCAACTCCTGGAACGATTCCATCAGCGCTGCCTCCGGAAAATCCTGCAAATCTCTTGGGAAGACAGGCGGACAAACATCAGCGTGCTGGAAGAAGCAAAGACCACCAGCACTGAAGCGATGGTCCTCCGCCATCAACTCCGCTGGACCGGCCACGTTGTCCGGATGCCCGACCACCGTCTCCCAAAGTAGTTGCTCTACTCTGAACTCAAGAACGGAAAACGGAATGTTGACGGGCAGGAAAAGAGATTTGAAGATGGGCTCAAAGCCAACCTTAAAAACTCTGGCATAGACACTGAGAACTGGGAAGCCCTGGCCTTTAGTGCTCCAGCTGGAAGTCAGCTGTGACCAGCAGTGCTATAGAATTTGAAGAGGCATGATGGAGGGTGAAAGAGAGAAACGTGCCAAGAGGAAGGCGCGTCAAGCCAACCCCAACCGGGACTGCCTTCCACCTGGAAACCGATGCCCTCACTGTGGGAGAAAATGCAGAACAAGAATAGGGCTCCACAGTCACCTACGGACCTACCCTGGAAGATTATCCTACTCGGACAACAAGTAGGTAAGAATAATTATAATTCTCATGGTTCGAGATGGGGAACAGCCTTAGAATTAAGTAAATAAAGGTAAACACATTTGTTCTAGATTACTGCAATGGGTTACTGCGATGTTCTGGTCTAGATTGGAGGGTCTAAATTGGCCCATACCTGGTATATATAGACAGACACAGAAACAATACAGACCCTTGGCTGTTTTGGCCCTCAGCTTTCTTTAGGTCATTTGATGGCAGACACATTTTTAAGATCTCTTTGCCACAGAAACACATTTCAAACAGTAAAAGCCCTTCTGTATACGATGCACCCTTGAACTAAACCATTCTTTCCAATGCCAAGAGAATGGCAGGACTAGAAGCCAGCCTTCAGAGATCAGTGAATGCTTGTTTACCTGCTGGTGACGATGATAACATCCTCCGAAATGTTGGCCATCTCTTTGATGGTCAGGTAACACATCCTCCGTAAGGTTTGCTGTGGGAAGAGTGAGACAAGACCCATATATTCACCAAGATGGTAAGCCTGAAAAATGCCAGCAACCTCGGAGGATATGTCAGAGCGCAAGAAACGACGACTCCGGAGCTATATTCCGATACATGCATAACAGGGGGTTGGGATAGATGGCCCATGGGGTCTCTTCCAGCTCTATTGTTCTATGATTCTACGATACTACCCAAATGTAAAGGCACTGTATCACACAAATGCACGTATTTTTATGAACTAAGAAATTCCAGTGCTCTTCATGCAACTGGAAATTCAGGGAAAGGAAAATGCCTGTTTGGATATATACCGTATATACTCGAGTATAAGCCGACTCGAATATAAGCCAAACCACTTAATTTTACCACAAAAAACTGGGAAAACGGATTGACTCGAGTATAAGCCGAGAGTGGGAAATTCAGCAGCTACTGGCACATTTCAAAATGAAAACAATAAAATAACATTAATTGAGGCATCAGTAGGTTAAATGTTTTTGAATATTTATATAAAATTGTAATTTAAGATAAGACTGCCCTAACCCTCTTCAATGTAAATGTGCTTACGTATCCTTCCAATAATAAAGACAGTAAAATAATAGTAATAATAATAGAGTGAAATAATAAATGTAATAAATAGAGTACAATAATAAATATAATAACAATTATAAAATAAAATAATAAATGTAATAATAACAATAAAGTAAAATAATAATAATAATAATAATGATAATAATAGAGTAAAATAATAAATGTAATAAAATAGTAGCAATGACAGAGCAAAATAATAAATCACCTTGACTCGAGTATAAGCCGAAGGGGGTTTTTCAGCCTAAAACAAGGGTTGAAAAACTACGCTTATACTCAAGTATATACAGTAAGATACTCACATCATTGGACTGAAATAATCTTGTCATGGCAAAGAAGGCCTCTGTAGCTTCCGTGGTCCCGAAATGCTCACCCTAGAAGAAAGAAGCAGCAAATAGGTGGCAGGCATCAAGGAAGTCAAACTTATTAAGGAAAGTACTCTGAAGTCAACTTCTGCTGGAATTTGACATTGTTGTTGTCATTTCTATCCTAGTTTATCTCTCTTAGAAAGAGACCCAGAACAGCTAACACTAAAAGCAAAACAATATATAATTTAAAACCTAAAAAGCACACAAACATTAAAATAGAATGTATTGTTGAAGGTTTTCATGGCTGGAATCACTGAGTTGTTGTAGGTTTTTCGGGCTATATTGCCATGTTCTAGAAGCATTCTCTCCTGACCTTTCGCCTGCATCTATGGCAAGCATCCTCAGAGGTTGTGAGGTCTACCAGAAAAGGGGGGTCTAGATCAGTTAGAGACCTCGAATTTTGGGAAACTTAATTTAATTGGTGCTACAGCTAAAATTTGAACAAAATTGGAGACATGATGATGGGAGGTTTTAGACCACTTGGCATGGAATGACCCTAAAGTGATTATTGGTTTTCCTTCTTACGGAGCCTTGTTTGACTTCCTTAAGTGATGTTGGTTTTCCTTCTTGAACGTAAGGAGCTTTGTAAATGCTTCCTTACTTAAAAGAGCCATTGCCTCTGGTAACGTAAACATGTTGTTTTCCACCAAGACTTCATCATTTGTCTCTGGACATCAACAGTTCAGCAACTTTTAATTACAGTCCATGAATTCTTCACCTCCTGCTTATAGTTTTCCAGGCTTCAATCTTAGACTATATAGACCCAACTATACACCTTTCACACAATTCCATTCAAACTATACTTCATATTCCTTGACATTGAAACCCACCTCGAGTCATGAGGAGAGGTGGGTTAGAAATAACAACAACAAGAACAACAACAATAATTCCTATTTCATGTTCTAGAAGTATTCCCTCCTGAGGTTTCACCTACATCTATGGCAAACATCCTCAGAGGTTGTGAGGACCTCACTACCTCTGAGGATGCTTGCCATAGATGCAGGCGAAACGTCAGGAGAGAATGCTTCTAGAACATGGCCATATAGCCCGAAAAACCTACAACAACCCATTAAAATAGAATTAAACACTGGTAAGATTGACATTAAAACAGTTAAAACCATTAAAACAAATTGAATTCACATAGCAAAAAGGTTTCATAGAACCCCCTGGCTCTATGTTGGAAGACCTAGAAACCCCTAGAAAGCATGTTTAATCTAATCCACAAATAATCAAATCTCAAACGTCAAAACAGACGAAAACCTCTTCATTCAGGCAGGCTTTTAAAGAAGGAGGTTGTAAAGATCACATCAGGGGTTTTTAGTTTTGAATATGTTTTCATGGATTTTAACAGCATTTTTCAATACTAATAATATTTAATTCTGTATTAATGATTGTACATTCATAGGTTTTAAATTGTATTGAAATGCTTTTATTGTGAGCCACTTCGAGTTTCCTTATGAAGAGAAAAAGTGGGGTATAAACAAACATAACAATAACAGTAACAATATAATAATAGTAATAAAACTGCAAATGTGGTATTTCCATCTCCTAGTCTAGAAAATAGAAAATACGGTTAGTTTAAGATTCTGTAACTGCCAACCCAGGGGTCCTCAAACTAAGGATACGGTCCTCCAAGGTCATTTACCCGGGCCTCCCTCAGGGTCAACCTAAGTCTGAAACGACTTGAAAGCACACAACAACAACAATCCTATCTCATCGGTCAAAAGCAGTACCCACACTTCACATTGAAATACATTATATTCAAGACCCTGGAAGTCTTCAGGAAGACCCTGAAAACTTGGTTGTTCCAGTGTCCCTTTAATGAATGAATGAAAAATAATCCCTGACCTGACCAAACCCTGCATAAAATGCCCTTGGAAGCACTTTATTTTACCTGTTAGTGCAATTAAACCCTATTTCGTCCCTCAGATCCTCTCTCTAGATTTATTACATTGCTCTCTCACCCAGTGTTTTAAACTTTTAATCTTTGCAACTAGCCCTGCCCACTGCGATCAACTTTCTGTGTTCAAATATTGTGATTTTATATTGTTCTGATGTGTTTATTTATACTGTTTCTTGTATTTTATCTTATTTTCTTATATTTTATTGTTGTATTTTTATGTTGCATATTTGCATATTTGCCCCCCATCTAGGATGTTAAGATCTTCTGGGGACGTCCTGCTCTCGGTCCTGCCTTCCTTGCAGATGCGTCTGGCGGGGACGAGAGACAGGGCCTTCTCAGCGGTGGCCCCTCGACTGTGGAATGCCCTGCCTAGAGATATAAGATCGGCTCCCTCCCTCCTGACTTTTCAAAAAAAGGTGAAAACCTGGCTTTTTGAGCAGGCCTTCCCAAATACGGCATAGCTAAATGGAATTATGGAACTACTTGATAACGCAATGGAATAACAATTTGACATGGAGACACTCACGATAATGTTTTAAGGCTTTGTACGGTTTTTATATTTTTTTATCATATGCTATTGTTTTTAACAGAATTTCTTGATTGTTTTTACTTGTTATAATTGTTGAGGCATCGAATTGTTGCCAATTTGTGAACCGCTCCGAGTCACCTCTGGGCTGAGAGGGGCAGTATATATATAGTAAATAAATAAATTTGCATAGTTGTATTGTTGGGCTTGGCATCATATAAGCCGCCCTGAGTTCCTTTGGGAAGATGGTGGCAGGGTATAAATAAATTATTATTATTATTATTATTATTATTATTATTATTATTATTATACATTTATATTTGTTAAAATTGTTCTTCATTTTAATTACTGTATTGTTTTTAAATGTTTTTTTTTTTTTGCACTGCAAATAAGATATGTGTGCATAGGAATTCATTCATGGTTTTTTTATTTTCAAATTATAGCCCTCCAACAATTTGAGGGACTGTGACCTGGCCCTGTTTAAAAAGTTTGAGGACCCCTGATGCAAAAGCTACTTCAGCCACTTTTGTAATATTAAGTCGTAATAAGTCAGTGAGAGCTCTAAATGAACAGCAAGTATCAATGTAATGAAGAGATTATGGATTACAGCCTGTGTTGGATGGGGTCGCACTCCCCCTGAAGACGCAGGTTCGCAGTTTGGGTGTGATCCTGGACTCATCGCTGAGCCTGGAACCCCAGGTTTCGGCGGTGACCAGGGGAGCATTTGCACAGTTAAAACTTGTGCGCCAACTGCGACCGTACCTTGGGAAGTCTGACTTAGCCACGGTAGTCCACGCTCTGGTTACATCCCGCCTTGCTTACTGCAACGCTCTCTACGTGGGGTTGCCTTTGAAGACAGTCCGGAAGCTCCAGTTAGTCCAACGGGCGGCAGCCATGTTTTTAACAGGAGCTGATCGCAGGGAGCATACAACTCCCTTGCTGAACCAGCTCCACTGGCTGCCGATATGCTACCGGGCTCAATTCAAGCTGCTGGCGTTGGCCTTTAAAGCCCTAAACGGTTCTGGCCCAACTTATCTATCCGAACGTATCTCAGCCTATCAGTCCACCAGGACCCTAAGATCTTCCGGAGAGTCCCTTCTCTCTATCCCTCCAGCTTCAGAAGTGCGGCTGGC